TTCTTGGGATTGAGCATGACATGGTGCCGCCTGAGTGTGGCGAAAGTTTCTCGGAGGTCCGTCAGATGATCTTCCTGAAGTTTAGTCTTGACAATCATATCATCAATGTATGCCTCGACGTTTCTCCCAATCTGATCAAAGAACACTGTGTTTATCATTCGTTGGAAGGTAGCCGGGGCATTCTTAAGACCAAACGGCATGACCGTGTAACAGTATAATCCCTGATCAGTGACGAAGGCCGTCTTCTCCTGATCTTTCTTCCATAAAGGAATTTGATGAAAACCAGAATAGGCGTCCATAAAACTCAGCAAGGCATGGCCGCCTGTTGAGTCGACCAGGTTATCAATTTTAGGCAGAGGGTAACTGTCTTTGGGGCACGCCTTGTTCAAGTCTGTGTAATCTACACACATTCGCCAGGTGCCATTCGGCTTTTTAACAAGCACCACATTTGCAACCCAATCTGGGAAGTAACATTGCCGAATGAACCCTGCATCAAGTAATTTTTTGACTTCGGCGGCTGCCGCCTGACCTCTTTCTTCACCATGGTTCCGTTTCTTTTGTCGTACCGGCTTCTTTTTCGGATCCACAGCGAGTTTGTGTACTGCCAGATCAGGACTAATGCCTGGCATTTCATGGACTTCAAATGCAAAGATGTCCTTGTATTCTTTCAACAGATTGTGAAAGTCGTCACCAAGGTTTCTCAGAGCAGTCGTCCCTACTTTGACTGTTCGATCAGGATGGGAGTCGTCTAATATCAGGTCCGCATGCTCACCAGCCGGCTGAGGGCGGAACTTATCCGGCCGGTCCTCTGCCAATGATTGCTATTTTCTTGCTTTTCTTGCGGACTCTGTCTGGGACGCCTTTCTTTTTCTGTCGCCTGTTTCTTGAACAGGCGCACTCTCCTTGACATTGTCAAGGTCTGTTTTTTCTCCACTTGACCCAGTGGCCATAACAGTGGGCTTGACATCCGAGAGATAGCACTCTCGGGCCATCCTCTGATCTCCCCTTAGGGAGCCGACTGTTCCATTATCCCTTTCAAACTTAAGCAGCATAAGTGACGGGATTATAACAGCCTTGGAATTATTCAGGGTTGGTCGACCCAGAATCATGTTGTAGGCCGAGAGTTCCTCTACCACTAGGAACCGGACTACCATGTGTCGTCCTTCCCCTTTTTCGCCCAGGCGAATGGGTAGATCCACTCGTCCCAGTGGGTGGACGACTCCTCCTCCAAAACCTATTAAAGGGTGGGAGGCCGGATGTATGCAGTCCGTCTGATATTTCAGTTTTGACAGACATTTGCTGCTGATGAGATCTGAAGAGCTCCCGGTATCTATGAGGATTCGGCCAACTCTCTGGTTGGCCACTTTACATTCAATAACGAGAGGGTCGTCATGCGGTCCCCTTATTCCTCCTAGATCCTCTTCAGTGATGACAATCTCAGGAAATGTATATTTGGACGGCCGTTCTTGGTGAACGGAATTTACATCTAACCGCCTTATATTATCTTTGTTGCCCCTAATAGTGGGGCCGCCTCCTGAGAAGCCGCCTGCAATGGTGTAGACGACTGCATCATCTGTATCGGAACTGTCGGCCTGTTGATTCTTTTTGGCCGACTGCTGTTTTGAAGAAGTATTCCCCGTAGATTTCTTGACATAAGTGTCAAGATCACCTTGATCAGCCAAGCGGTCTAGGTACCGCATGAGACTGATGCAGTCATTGGTGTGATGACCAATGTCATCATGATAAGCACAGATTTTGTCTTGGTTCCGGTTGCTCGCAGAACCCTTCATGGGGAGCGGCTTCTCAATTGAGAGCCGTCCCTTTATTTCTTTTAGGATAAACTGGTTATCCTTGTTAAACACATACTTTGGGGAGTATGGTTTGAATTCTTTTTTCTTTTTCTAGGCCGGCTGTTTAGAGGAATCAGCCGCCCAGACCTCTTTTCTTTTTTCATCTTTGTTGGACGACTGTTTCTGTCGTCCCTCTCTGTTGTCGAACCTCTTCCCGTCCGACTGTTTCATCGTACACAGATCAGTCGCCTGTATATAGGCTTCTGCTTCAATCAAGGCCTCTTGAAGAGTCGCCACCCTTTTTCGAACTAAATCAAATTTGAAGGTAGACCCGTCTTTGAGACCTCTAAAAAAGTCAGTATAAGCTACCTCATCCGGTAACCCCTGAATCTGTATTCTCATCAGGTTGAACCGCCTGATGTAGGAACGAAGCCCCTCTTTCTCGCCCTGCTGAATTGTTCCCAAATCAAGGGTCGTTTTCTTCGCAGGGATGTTCATTGCGAAGTTGGAGGCAAATAAGTAAGCAAGCGTCCTGAAGCTGTTTACACAACCAGTCGGCAGGTTGCCGAACCATTGCTGTGCAATTCCCTTGAGAGTCGCTGGGAAACATTTGCACCAAGTGGGATCATCCAACCCTTGAAGGTACATCAGGTTGGTGAATGCCATCAGATGGTCTTCTAGGTTAGTAGTGCCGTCATAGGCGCCTACTAGAACATTTTTTACTTTGGCCGGCTGAGTGGCTTCAGTAATTTCCTTGGAGAAGGCCGACGGCTGTTCACCAAGTCTAAGCAGCCGTAGCTGCCAGTCCATAGGTTGGACGTTATTTGCTGCAGGTCCACCAAATGGAGGTGGCTGCATAAAATACTGTTGCGGCACAAATGGTAAGTTTGGTACCGCCTGGGCACTATGAAAGCCGGACTGACGGGAGGTGCCGCCTGACTGACTCTCATGGTACGACTGAGTATGCCTCATCGAGGCATTTCGCAAACTGTCCTGAAAATTTGAAGTAGAAGCCGACTCTGATAATCGGTCACTCTTCTTCTGCTCTAGCAGGAGCCGAGCATCTGTGAACGTTTGCTTTGACCCGTCCGCCTGAATATGACGAACCGGTTTCCTATTTCCCGTAGGATAACGGAGTTTTGTAAAATCAAGAGCAGGTGGCTCCCGCTTCTTGGATTTAGGATGGGGAGTCGCCTCTCGCCCTTGAACTGGCTTCCTCTTCAGTGAAGTGGAAGGTTTCTTGGCCGACTGCTCTTTGACTGAAGCAGGCGGTTTTTTGTTGATCAACTCTTGGATCTCTCCCTTGAAGTCCCTCATGAAGGTCATGAGTTCGTTCCTTGTGATGGGAGCAGACCCATCAGTCGGCTGTTGCCGAGCAAGCGATGCGCCTGCTGGCTCGCTTCCTGTTTTAAGATGCTCCCGTTCCCTCCTTTCGGTATGGCGGGTACGTCGGGCCCTTAGGGTCCCGTCTGGAGCTGTATGAGTTTCAACCTCAAATTCACTTTCCGTATCATGGTCCGACTGGACTTGAGGGTCGTCTAGGGGACGCCTCTCTTCTGGAGTCGGTACAGACTTGGATGCCATCTCTGAAGTACTCTCCCCACAGACGGCGCCAAATGTTTCGGGGTTTTCTGATGTCCTGCGGGAGAGTTACAATTCCGAGACTGGAACCGGACGCCTGTACCTGCAAAATAACGGAGACTCCTGAGAGCTCCGCCTCCAACGGTCAAGTTAGTACCCGATTAAGGAGTAATCAATACAGAAATTAAAGTAATGGGATCTCTCTAGGTGAGAGTGCTTAGTGTTGGTAATCTGCGTTGTTAGCGAGATTAGCCGGTTGTTAATAACTCTGTTCTTCTCTGCTTGATCTCTTAATTATTCGGTCCCCTGATTAATGAGGATTAATCGAGTATTTATAGCCTTGGGAAGCGTGCAACTCTCTAGGTTTAAGGTAAACCTAGGGCTGACCGGGCCTCTAGACTGGACTGGGCCTTGATGGCCGGTTTTCCCATTTGGCATGGGCGGACACGTGGCGTGTCTTAAGTGGTCCGTGGAGGACGTATCTGTGATTGACACGTGGCAGGTTCCTGTTGGCCTTCGTGAAGAACACGTGGCGGAACCTGGTTGGTCCACTTGTCAGTCGGTGATTGGTGGATAAAAATCCCCTAATCAGTATGAATTATGAATTCTAGTTCCTGAAAGTTCTTTACACTTACAATTTGCATTGACTTCAATATAAGAAAGAGCATTTGATTTTTGATATATTTTGTTTCCTAATTTGCTTGCCCTAAGCTATAATCAACTTTAGGACGTACTTATATCATTCTTTCTCCGTTAATTTTTTTTAGTTGCAATATTTCAACTTTTATATAACATATATATATATACACACATTAAGTTTTAGTTATCTGTATTGATTTATACTTAGTAAAAACATAATTATATAGGACCTTTTAAAATTCATTACAATTACAATGTATACTTTTAAAATATTAACTTTTACAATGTCATTTTATAATTAGCTTCAACCAGTAACTTTAACTAATTTGAAAATTCTAATACAGTCTTATGACTTTTGACTACCACAATTTTTTAAAATGGACGGTTGAGATTGTTTGTTTTTTTATTTACTTTTAATTAGTAATTTTAATTAAAAATATTTTTTTTAATTATTTTAAATACATTTTTATCTTCTAGAAATTATTTTTAATATTTTCGAAATCCTGAAAATAAAAAATATATATAAATAATTAATAAAATAATTTTAAATTAAAATTACAAATTAAAGATAAATTAAAAAACAAACAATCTCAGCCATCCATTTTAAAAAAATTGTGGTAGTCAAAAGTCATAAGACTACATTAGAATTTTCAAATTAGTTAAAGTTACTAGTTGAAGCTAATTATAAAATAGACAAGCTTAACATAGAAACGTTCCAATTAAAGATAAATGTTTCATTTTAAGCTTGAAGTTATACAATGACAACTATGAAAATAGAAATGTTCTAGTTATACAATGACAACTATAAGAATAGAAACGTTCCAATTAAAGATAAACGTCTCATTTAGACATGAAGATATTGAAAAAATGACAATTACGAAAATAGAAACGTTCCGATTTGATAAAAGGAGGTGGTTGGTCGTGCTTTGCAAAAAGTTAACACAATCTGGTAAATATCCAAAAACAGTAGATAAGTTAATGTTAACTTACATGAATTAGGCCAAGCCTTGAACTGAAGTTGAGAATGCGGCTTTTATGAGTTGATGAGCGTCGAAAGAAAGGCAATAAAGCCTCTATCAACAACTTTGGACCATAAAAGTTTGTCTTGATCACTATTTCCGCATGCTTTACTGAGTTTTCATATAGCCCATTAAATGATACCGCAGCATTGTTCACCTGAAATTAACAATTTTGTTTTTACTTTACTATTTGAGAAAGCTTTCGACTATATTAATTGATTGTTGGTGTAGTGGTGATTGGGGGTGCACTTGGTAGGGGAGATCGTGTGTTTGATCTCCCACAACAATAATTGGGAGGGGATTGAAACCTAACCACTCAAAATTGAGCCTAAAATTCGAATTAGTCTAAAAGGTGAATTGGGTGGAAACACCCAACAAAAAAAAAAAGCTTTCAACTATTTAAGCTTATACAAATTCGACTCTCATTCTCATATCATATCACACCAAGAGATTAACAACAAATATTATTATCCAATCGCTTAGATTAAGTGCCTTTTATTTTGTAAATAGCAACGAATTAGATTAAGTAATTTATGGTCGCAAATCCTTTCTCTTATAATTTGTGAACCATTATGTGTCACTTTGTTTTATTGGTTTTTTGATGCAAACTTTGTTTTATTGGAGGGGCATTCACTCAATCAGTTGATTTACAATTTTTTGTAAATCAATCTCCTTTTTTCGATTTTTCAAATTAATAAAATAGAAAAAAAAAAAAGATAAAATGACAAAGTAACCCTAATTTATCAGATGCAATGACTATACTACTCCTTGATTTACAAATTTATGTAAATTAGGCTTATTAACCTGATTTCTCTCGTTTTATTGGTTGATAGTTTGTAGCTTCAAAATAACACCAATTACACGAGTAATAAGATATATCTCGTACAATAGCATGAGTACGCAGCACTAACCTAACAAAAATGGAGCCCCCCAACTTTTCCAAAAGTTGTACGTACGAATGCACAATGCGCACTTGCGCTGCATAATGGGGGCGCACTAAGGCATTTAGGAAGCAAGTCATGTTAGGTTGTTGTCAGCAGGCAGCACCAACTTTCATTACTTAGGCATAAATGAATCACATTGCATTGTGTTGTATGGCAGGGAGCCGGGGCTTAACATTCTTTTTTTGCCATCAATATTTATTTAACTACTTAACCCGTATTGGCTTCATTATTCGAGTTGAATTTTAAAGAATCAACTAGGGTTAAAATTTTGTATGAGCGGGCTCATAATATACAACACACAATTATTGCCAGACTCGAAAGTAATCATTGGATTCAATCAGGGATGTCATTTCATTAATTCCGGGCCATGCGAAGGTGTTCAAGAATTAAAAGTAAAAACAAAATATTCCATATGGTTTAATTTTTGTTTGATCATATATATGGAGTATCCAATGCTGAAATACATATTATAAAAGTTTTCACCGCTTTCATAAAAACTATAACAATGTAATTTCTACAGCATTTGATTATATGCTAGGTTTAACATATAAAAAGTAAACATTGTTAAGCATACCATCCAAATATCAATTTTTTTAAAATGAAAATTAGTAATAAAAATTTAATAATGTATAAGCAAAATGACTCGCCTAAACTACTCCCATTTTCCAATTCTTTTTTTTTTTTTTTTTAATTTGTTTTTTTGAAAGATTCTTTCATGAAATATTTAGATAATCACATAGAGATAACATTAGTGGAGTCGTCATCAAAATATTCACCCACTGACCCACCAACTTTATGTGAGTAGCCGGCACACCAAAGTTATTAAAATTGGGATTTTATTTTGAATTAGAAGGGGCTCCTAAAATCGAATCGTAGAATTTTAAGATTCTACCGATATGCATAATCAATACGTCATATCTAAATTTAATTAAATATATTTAAGTTATGAGTTTGAAACCTAATTATTAATAAAAAGATAGTTGTTTATCCATTATGTAACCTATAATTGACCATATATATTTATAAATAACTATATAGGTATGTTTTAAACTTTTAAGGATTTCGCTATTTACAATAAATATGTAAAATCGGGTAGAATCGTAAATTAAATTGTGTGACATACATATATCGTAAAATCGTAAGATTCTAAGATTTAAACCGGGATTTTAATAACAATGGACGACACAATATTTGTTTTTTTCAGTTGACACTTTTTTTATATCAATCAATTTTATTTTATTTTCTTTTACATTTGGCAATGCGTAACACCCACCATTAACTTTAGTTATCAATATGTAAGAAATATAAATGTTACATTAAAGAATATAGTAAGAATTTGCATGAGCATATTTTTTTCTTCTTATGTGTACATGACAAAAGACGAGCAAATGAGAATGTGTTGATGGTGGCATAGTGTCAATAATCAAAACATGTTAGTAAATAAAACGAAATCGTGTATGATTTTGTTGAAAAGCTAGTCTAGCATTTTCTAAACATAATCAATATTTAGTCGTATCAACTAACTTATGGCCATAAAAAATCCAAAACTGGCTTTCAAGAATACAACTCTATGCAAGCAATTCATATTAACTACTACGTAAAAAAAATATAAATAAAAAAAAATAAATAAAAAACCTCCAGTGTAAAAGCAATTGTTATTGCATTAATTCGTGAATCATAAAATAGATTATACTAACTAGTGTTATATAGTACATTGTTAGTCAACCATAACATGAAACAAGTTTGTATGCATTTTTAGCGGACCATAACCTACATGAAATAAAGATTATTGTTCGTATGCATTTTTAGTGGACATAACATGAAACAAAGATTGTTGAATGATGATGTGGCGTTATGTTAGTGCGAGAATAGATACACTTAACACATTGACATTTTTAGAAACACTTTTTTAATATGTAGTAATATAAATTTTACAATAAAAATAAACTAAAATATAACATTATTTGATAAGAATGTTTGGTTACATATTTTTGTTGATCTGAATTAAAAATGGCATGCACCATTCATATACATTCACACAATCACACAAATTATCCTCTTCACACTCATTTTATTCACGCTCTATTATTATTATTATTATTATTATTATTATTATTATTATTATTATTATTATGGAGTATTATTAAAATTATCAATTATTATAGTTCAACAAAAATTGAATATAACCTCCTTAACAATCTTCTTAATTCAATAAGGTAAGATAAGATAAGATAATGCGCGAACTTACAAGAATGTCAAGAACGCCGAAGTTAAGCTTGAACCAAGTAGCAAAAGCAGAAACAGAATGAGGATCAGAGACATCAAGGACAGAGAAATGAATATAATCACCAAGTCCTTCATTCCTTAGCAATTCCAAAGCTTCTTTGCCTTTTTTTGCATCTCTTGCTGTTAATATTACTGTCACTCCTAATTCTGCTAATCTCTTTCCAATTGCTAATCCAATCCCTCTGTTTCCTCCTGTTACTATTGCTCTTGTCTCTTTTCCCCACCATCTGCATCGTCGTCGAATCAATCGGAGCAATTAGAGGTTTTTTTTTTTGTTTTTTTTTTTTTAATTTTAATTTTATTATTATCACGAACACATATCTGTTCTTTTTTTTTTTTTGGCGTACCATATTAACTTTCGATGTTATTTACAAACTTCGTATTTATTAACTGTATATGTAGTGTGTATCTTGCTAGATTCGTCTCAAGTACATACAGTTTCAAAATGCCAAGTTTGTATACTTTTACCTAGAGACAATCATCGACAACATAATAAAAAAATATAAAAAATAAAAAACCTTTGTACAATTAGTTAGCCAAAAGGTATTAATGATTAATATTTAAAGTAAAAAAGACTTACATTTTGCCTCAAATACTAGCCAATTAATGTCATATCATAAAACATACTAACATACATAAGATTGATAAATATGTTTATTATAATGCAAGGAATATATAAATGTTAACTAATTACCATTTGGGAAAAAAAAAACAATTGTGAATCTGGTCCACACAAGATGGTTATGGTTATGGTTTTATGATGGTCATTTTTCGCAAACTAATAAGCAATTTAGTTTAGAAGTTACCTGGTGGAAGAAGAGGGATCTTGTCTAAGCTCCATAGTTGTAATTAAGGAAGATAATTAGATATGATGATGGGGTTAGTTAAGAAAGTATTGGTCTAAGAAACTATGAAGAAATGTGGAAAAGCAATGAACAATAAGAAGCTAGATTAGCATTTATAGAACAATATATAAGCAGAGAAAGAAAGTATATAATAAGATAGGGTGCATACTGCATACACTAGCAATTTAAGATTATTGTTGATTGTACCAGACCAGGGCCAGCTTTTTTGGAGTGTATAAACATAAAGTATTGTGTTGTACAGTATATATGTGAGATTATGCACATGACTTTGAAAAATTCATCACCTTAATTACATTTTTAATTAAAATAATTCTCGCATTACATTCCTTTGTCGATCTAATTGTTTGTAGTAATCCATTATTATCACAATGATAGTGTAATTTGAATTGCACTAGAAAGCTAATTTTTCAACTCTTACACAGTCAATACTCCCCCTCACATGTAAGGCCCCTTTAATTCAAAAATCACTTAATTCAATTTAATTTGGACAATATACTCAAGCCATTAGAGGTCCTATACCGTGGGTCTGGCTTTCATAAGATCTGAGCCACACCCATAAACCAAGAGAGATAATCCACTTCACAAGATCAAAGGAGGTTCCATCCCAAAACCATATGACAATAAGAGAAGTAACCCCTTAGCCTTATAAAGTGTTTAACTCTCTCTTTTTTTTCTCAATGTGGGACACTTACATGTGTTATTTGGTAAAATATATTTCAACATAATGTTTATTGTTTAATGTAAACTAATATCAAGTCTAGGCAAGTAGACAATTTTTTTATCAAAATAATATGATCTCTATAATGTCTGATATTATAGAAATTACTTATAATCAACATTATCACTGCTGGATCAGTGGATCTTCTGTCGTTTGGTATATAGTTTTAGTCAACAAATTTTTCATATCATTTTAAAATTGCTTTCATACTAGCTAGCAAAGTAAGTAGGGATCTGTCTTAATTAGTACTGTGTATGTATAATTGCCAATTGGGCACCTCCCTTACAATAAAAATAATAGAGTAATTAAAAAAATTGCCAATTGATCACTCCAGGTACATAGTCTTATTTAATACGTAGGTGTCAGTGTGTCATATTAGAGTTGTTAAAATTTGACCCACCTTAAATCCGATATGAAACTGGCCTAAAAATCATGGAAATTAGACCAATTATGGACCGATTTTATCATCATTACACTTCTTTTACGTGCGTTTTTTCTAATTTAATCATTACACTTCTTTTACGTGCGTTTTTTCTAATTTAATCATTACACTTCTTTTTATTGTACGAATTAATGAATATTGTAAAATCTCATTTCATACTACCAGGTCTCACAATTTCCTTCATTCGATGAGAATATTCATTAACTATTGTCTACGACATCTACTTTTCTATTTAAATACTCATCCCCTTTTCGGATAAAATTGTAACACTTTGACATTTTCATAGTCCAAACTCCATATCACAAACTCCATATTACTACTCCTCTACTTAAGCCCCATTGTTTTGAAAAGAATACAAATCATTTTCAGACTAAGAAACGAAAAATATGGACCATTTTTTTAAGCTACTTTTATGTACGTTAGGTTAGAAATTAGGGGTCAAATACATAGTATCCCGGTAATTATGTTATAAAAATCAACTTGACGTTGACATTAACCAATTAATGATTCCTCGCTTTGACTTGGTAATTAAGATAAGACATGTACTAAATGATTTTATACTCAACTCTTAAAAAATTAATACGAAGTTCATATTCGTACGTCATTTATTTTGCTTGTCAAATTTATTTCAATTAAATTAGCTTATATGGTCACGTGTGATTGAATTAAAATGTTGGTCAAATGGATTAAATTAGATTGTTTTTAATTAGCTTGATGGCTTATTTCTTAGTCTACACTATGTGATCTATTAGCCAATGGTTGCATCTATTCTCGCTTCATTTTAATTGAATAAAGAATCACAAGCACGTCCCGTTAAAAAAAAAAAAAAAAAAAAAAAAGAATCACGTGTACATTTTCACTATAATGAAACAAACTTTATAGTGAAATATTAGATGAGGTAAGAACTAATGCTTTAGAATTTTTTCTTTTAATTAAATTGTTTTAATTTTTTTTATCGAGTTTTTATAATAACTAGTTAGCGTATGAGTCTACTTGAAGATAAATATGTTGATAGTTTTCATACTTACTTGCATGATACATGCGGGCTATGCAATACTTCGTGCATGTATCTAAAAAATTCATTCTACACATCTTTTAAAGAGAAATCATCAACGTTAACTCTTAGGGAAAAGTTCAACAACGTAACTCTTTCATTTGGATGATAAAGAAGTACGAATTGTTTAAAATTTAAACCTATAAAGAACGAAGGGGTATTAATCGAATGTATTTAGCCATAAAATCTATTCTAGATTTTAAAATCAAATAAACAAAAGATCAAAAGAGTTTATCTACAGTTAAAAAATCTTAATTCTGGGACAAAAAGAAAAATGAAGCTTGCCGTCCTATAACCCTACCTTTTATATATAAATACCATGCTTATATTAGCTAGTAGGAACTATTTAATTGGATAGCCTAATCAAATATGGCTTCCATGTGCATCTAACACACGAGTGGTTGTCGACTAGTTGTGCTTTTATATATATATATATATATATATATATATATATATATATATATATATATATATATATATATATATATATATATATATATATATATATATATATATATATATATACATTAAAATTAATTAAAACATGTATAGTTCTATACTTAAAAAATAAAGATATTGATTATATGTTACGAAGTAGTTGTTACTTGTTAGGAAATAATCAACTCTTTGTGTTGCTTTTTGGTGGGTTAGAGGTAGTGAACTGTTAAACATCGCCCGCAAATTCCTACATAAAGCCCACAAAATAAGAGTGAAATGACACTTTTGCCCTCATACTAAAAAACACAATTTCTCTCTCTACTCTCTACTTCCACTTTCTCTCTCTAAATTATTTCCAGAGCTATGTCGAGGCGGCCCGGCAAGGAAGTGGCGGCACCGGCGGTGGGCGGAAGGCGGTTTGCCGGCCAGAAGGTAATTTTTTAAATTTTTGTAATTTTTTTTTTAAAAAAAAAACCTCCGGCGACGGTGGGGCGCCAAGGCGAGACGCCACCACCACGGAGGACGCGCCTAGGCAAGACGCCCATACGGTGGTGGCGGCGCCTAGCCCAGACGCCACTACCACGGCGGCGGCGCAGAGGCTAGGCGCCACGGCCGTGGTAGTGGCGTCTGGGCTAGGCGCCGCCACCACCGTACGGGCGTCTTGCCTAGGCGCCTCCTTCTTTTTTTTTTTTTTAAATTTTTTTTTTGTTTTTTTTTTAATTTTAAATTTTATTTTCGAATTTTTTTTTTTTTTTTTAAAAAAAATTTGTTTTTCTTTTTTTTAAATTGTATGTTCCCTTTTTTTTTTATCTTTTTTTTTTAAATTTTGTTTTTTTATTTGTTTTAATTTTATGTTCTATTTTTTTTTTTAAAAAAAAATTGTATCTGGTTTTAATTTTTAATTTTATGTTCCTATGTATTTTTTTTTTTTTTTGAATTATATTTTTGTATGTAAAAAAATTATAAGTTCCCTTTTTTTTTTATAAATTTTCTTTAAAATTTTAATGTTCTTCTTTTTTTAAGTTTTTGCAATTTTAAATTTTTTAAGTTTTGTTAGTTTTTTGTTTTTGGTTTTTTCTTTGCATTGTTGATTTTTTGTTTTTGTTTATGTTTTTCATTTTTTAGTTTGTTGTTTATATTTTTTGTTTTTGGTTATATTTTTTGTTTTTGTTTTTGTTTATGTTTGTTTTTTTTTTGTTTGTAGTTTATATTTTTTGTTTTTGGTATATGTTTATGTTTATATTTCTTATGTTTATATGTATATTGTCTTGTATATATTTATATTTTTTATGTTTATAATTTTATTTCCGTGACTTGTTTATTTGCTTTTGTGTTTATTTTCGACTTTTTTTAATTTGTTTTCGTTATTATGTTTCGTTATTTACTTGGAGTTAGGCATCGCAATTTAGACCTGGTGCGGGGAAGAGTATTGACGTCGTGAGGAGTACGATCTACTCAATGGAGAGCTCGGGGCCCAGACACGTTAGATCCCGTGGTATTTCGGCCTCGGCCCGCAGAGAACGGGTGCACTGTTCTGCGGACGATCAAAATGATGATGATGATGAGGAGGAGGAGGAGGAGGAGGTCGAGGAGGAGGAGGTCGAGGACGAGGATGATGCAGATGAGGATGTCGACGATCAGAGTGGACCATATGATGATTACGGTCCATTCAGTCAGAGGCTTGATGATACGTATGAGACGCATAGGGTAGATGTGCGTAAGGGTCGAGATGGTAGGTTTGTTAGTAGATCTGGCACATCATCTGCGTCCACTGTGTCTGCGGGTAGCAGAAAACGGTCGAGGGCCGTTAATGATTCTTGGATGGTGAGGGGTGAGGTGGCCGGGGGACCTATAGACGGGAGTGTGATTCCTAGCTTTTTAGGACACATCGCTACCCGTATTTGGGAGGACCAGGAGAGGGCTTTGGATACAGGCATTTTGAAATGCCAAACCCGGGAAAAGACTTGTAGGTTTTTGTGTAGCTGGGCTGATGCTTGGCCGGAGGAGAGCGAGATGGTCAGGCGATTGAGGGGCACTAGAGTGAGTCACCTTCCTGCCACCATGCACGACAGGATTGACTGGACGCTGATCACGGCTTTCGTTGAGCGATGGCAGCCGGATACGAACTCGTTCCACCTTCCATTCGGTGAGATGACGATCATGTTGCATGACGTCGAGGCCATCCTTGGGATTCCCGTGGAGGGAAACCGAGCATCTGTCGTCACTGATGCGGATCAGGCAGATTTACTAGCGGAGCTGTTGGCGGTGGATAGGGCTGCGCTGTACACATCGGCACTTGGTGTGTGGGATCACGGCGGCGTTAAGATCGCAGCCGTCTTGCAGCGATGTTTGCACCCTACGGCACGTAGGACGCAGGACACACAGCTGGCTGCATATGTTTTTCTTCTTCTCGGGTGTACCTTGTTTTCGGATAAGAGCGGGAACAAGCTCAGGCCACGCGACATAGTTGACGCGTGTGAGCCCGACAGAGTAGGCCAGTTTTCTTGGGGGTCGGCTACGCTGGCGTATCTGTATCGCCAGTTAGGATT